ATGACATTGCTTGGAGATGGAGACAGATACAGAAGTGCTCAACTGCCAACCACCAAGGACACTCAGAACGCAAATAACTAATCCCCAAAACCTCTTATATGCAACAAAAATAAAACAAATAGTAATAACAATAAATATTTGACAAAAGCACATTGAACAGTATAACTCATGCAAGCCAAAAACACTTGACAAATGACAAGCTAGAGAAGAGACATCACATATTCACAATCAAACAAGAGAAAAACTCCAAATATAATTTGTGCAAGATCCAAATCAGACACAAGCGTGCTCTGTCTAACCCCTTTTAAAACCGAATCATATATCCACGATCAATAAAACATGTTGAAAACAACCAATCATTAAGAAACTATCAGAATAAACTTTCTCGAATAGTACTTGATGGAGAAGAAATTAAGAAGGAAAAAATAATTAAACTTCTCTTGTAAATTAAAATAAAGTTATGCCAGGATAAAATTAGCTTTAGAAGAATTTTTATAATATAAAAGTTGAACTGCATAAATTGATTTTAGCTCATGAGAAAAGTTTAATTTTATAATAAAAGATGAAGCACGTAAGTTGATTTTTAGCTCATAAGTCAAATTTAATTCGATTTATCTTTTCGCTTTTCAGCCACAGGATATGTTTGTCCAAACAAAACCTAAACAGCACATTCTTATAAGAAAAGCACACTACTCATATTTTCTCTTTCCCTAATGCAAGCAGAAGCCACAATACAACACATTGTATTCAAGTCAACATCATTATGAAAAACAACTAAACAAGCTAAGCTCAGAGAAACAAATAAATTGAAATGCAGGTTATGAAAATCACTACTCTAATCAACCACAACATACATCTCTAGCTAACACAAATAATTCTCCAAAAATTTAAATAAAAATTAAATAATCGATTGAATACCTTAGTGGAGAAGGCAAGATTGGAAGGGAAGGCGAGTGCGGAAGGTCCTCGGAAGAAAACCGACGGCCTAGGCGGAGCGGACGCTGGTGTAAGGACAGTTGCCGTCGCAGCCGCTTCCATTGACAGCTCTGCGAAAGCGATGAAAGACATTGAATGAAAGAAGAAAAAACCAAGAATAAATGAATATAAATGTAACAAATAAAATATAAAAGTTATATAAAATATATAAATAGAAATGAAGAAGATGAAGCATCATGACCATGCCTACCTCTGACAAAGACGAAGGGATGTAAATGGAATCCAATCCAATACAAACAAAGAGATAATAAATAATCCCATTTTTTATTGTATTGAAAATTAAAAATATGTCCATAATTTACTCTGTAATTTTTAATTAAAAAAAGACACAAAAATTCCTTAAATTGGTTTAAAGTGATCAATGAACTAAAATTGATCGTCTGAACAGTTTTATAAAAATAATCATTTTCAATTAAACATAAGATTTATGATAATTAATATAATTTTAGCCTAATGTTTTGATGACCGGTAATAGTGTAATAACCTACTATTGCTATTTTTAAAAGTAAAATAAAACATAAATAAAGTTTACATAACCACGTACATAAAATACTTACATAAGTTAATAAATATAATTACAAACAAAATATCAATTTACAAGTTACAGAGAATTTAAAAATTATGAAACTTAATAATTGTTATTGGTGTGTCATTTACCAAAAATCAAATATTTTTTAAAATACCTTTTTAGAAATGATATTTAAACACACACAAAAATATTATCTTTTTTAAAGTACAAAAATTTATTATTTTATAACTATTTTATCTTTTCAAATAAATATAAATATCTATTATCTTATTATTAATTTTTTTTACATATCTCTTTTCAATTTTTATCAGTCTCATCCATTTATATTCTTGGCATTTCTCTTTGTTTTTCACTTTCTTTCCAATTTTTAAATCTTTTATTTCATTTTGCATGCTTTCTTTGATTATGATTTATTTTCTGTATTGCTTACTTCTATTTCACATTTCTTTTAAAAGTTTTTCCAATTACGTCCTGCAAATTTATTAACTGGTGTTTTTCGTTTTTAAGATGATGTTGTTCTTTTATATTTAGATATTATTGTTATTTTTATGATTATTTATTTTATTATTAATTGAAAGATATATTTTTAGTTTATTTATAAACATAATTATAATATTATTTAATAAGAATAATTATGGATATTTTTACGAATTATACATACATACATATATATATATATATATATATATATATATATATATATATTAGTATTTTATGAATAGAAAATTAATGAATTTTATTGTAATAAAACTTATTATAATATCAAAAATCCCCAAAAGATCTTCAAGAAAACTAAGACATAATTATTCGAAACAATAAGACATTATGTAAAAAATAATTGTGTACAATCTCATATTCTATTAAATTATGTGAGTCAATACAAATAGTTGACATAAGTTAATATAATAACTTTTTGAAATTTTGAATGTTTTCAAAACCAATTATCATGATAAGAATGATATTTATTTGTCTGATAAATGTGAAAATAATTGCAATCATACCAATGAGATTGTCGAATAGAAAAGATACGACAACTAAAAAAAAATATTAATTTTGGATAAAAGTTTACAGTTTGATCTCTTTTTTATGTCTCAATTAACTTACTCTTAATTTTTGTATCACAATTAATTGATGTATCAAATTGTATCCTTCATTTTACATTGTATTGTATGTAATACAAGATCAAAAGATGAGGACGTTGATTGGAAGAGGTGAAGTGACCAATGAACTTTATCTATTTTGAGGTATTCTGAAGATACATGCATTAATGTCTGATAGGGATTCGTCAATTGGTCTATGACATAAACGTTAAAAAAGATGTTAAAGTTGATCTCTAATGTGAGTCAATTTAGTATAAGCAATAATAGTAAAATTTATCATATATGTTCGTGTTAAACAACATAAGCATTATTTTTTTATTATGTGAGCATGCTCAAAGTATTAGTTTGTTGTGAATTAGGGAGACCTTATCACACTCCTTCATCTTATTGGACACAATATTAATTAAGAATTATTGATAATTATTCTTGCGCAATTTGAGTTTATTTGTTATATAATAAAACTAAAATTATGTTTATGAACTTCATTTTCTTTGTTGATAGATAATTTGATATGAAAATAAAGAAAGTACAAAGTGACAACAACACTGAGAATTTAATTATATATATGCATTATTTTTCTTTAAATAATGACAATTTGTGTGAGACATCTTTTGTGGGTATCCACAAAAAAATAAAGTGGAAAGAAAACATCAACATATTATGAATATGGCATTGACACTCATATTTCAGGATCATTTACTAATGTAGTTTTGTGGTGAATGTGTATTAACAACATGTCATTTAATTAATTGCATATTATTGGGAATCCAAGTGTGAGTCTAAGTCCCACATTGAATAGAAATGACAAAGTAAAACACTATATAAATATGAAAGACCCATTAACTCATTGCCTTAAGGTTTTGGAACATGAATTTTCTTTTGTTGGATTTCCATAAATGTTTAAGGGTGTTATGTGAAGATTGTAATGGAAATTATATGATTTGGAATTCCATAAATATTGTCTTTAAACATTGTGAAATTTTACAAAGATGAATTTCCTCTTGTTGAGTCACTAGAGAATTCTTTTTATACTCTTCACAATATTTCTAATATTGAGTATGTTGATAATGATATTGGATGGGAAATTTGCAATCTTAGAGGGGTTGTGTGGAGATTATGATGAAAATGAAAGTAAAAGTATAAATGATATGGATCGTGAGGTGATGTCTCCACACATAGTTTATGGAAATGATGTTATGGTGGCGCAAGAAGAAAATATGGAGAATCTCTGCCAAATTTCATTATGTTCTCAAAGACACTCTGATGCTCAAGTCAGTAATCTAATCAATTGGGAGTTAGAGTAAAATTTCAAATTCGCAATAAATGCAATTACCTACCTACTTACCTCAAATATGTATTTATAGGTTTCAAAATTAGCTTATGATCAGTGAAATTGTAATCACATCCCAATGTCTAATAACTAAGACTTATCGATAAACTTGATTAGAGGTTGCACTTAAGGTTACTTAGAATTACAAACCGTTTAATCTCATTGTTTCTCTGATCGGTCGTTCAAAGGCGTAGACCGTACGGACGAATGATACAACAATGATTAGGAGTTGAGACATAATATATTAAAATGGATGCGTAATGTTGCGAATGGAGAGCATTTAGGGGTTAAGGCTACTATGAATAAGGAATAAGGTAAAATTGGTGATGCATTAGAAAAGGATGCATAATGATATTAATAAATTTATCCAACAATGTTCTATTTGTCAACAATGCAAATATGACAATGCGACATCTCTGAGATTACTTCAACCACTATTAATCCCAAAACACATTTGACATATCACTATAAATTTCATTGAAGGTTTGCCTAACTTATTTGGGAGGAGAGTTATATTCGTGGTGGTAGATAATAGACTAAGTAAAGTTGCGTATTTTATGGTTCTATCTCGTACTAAAACGAGGATCAAACTTTGAAAAAATATTTGAAACTTCAACATATATAGTTTTATGATTTATGATAAGAAGAAGTTTAATTAAAGTGTTATTATGTGGGTAAAGAAGATAAAAGATACTTGAAAATTTTCATAAAGAGATTATAAAATTATACAGTTATAGAATTACTAAAATACATAATTAAAAAATTACATAATTAAAAAATTACATAATTATAAAACTATAAATACGGAATTACAAAATTAAACGTGTAAAAACTAGATAAGGTGACGACAAATATAAAAGAAAATCTACCAACAAAATTTGAAAATTTTTAAATTTTTTATAAGTGAGTATACAATAAAAATTTAATAAAAACTAATTAATTTTTTTCAAATATATAAGAAATTTAAAACTTAATGAAAAAACATATTATATTATTAATTCAAAATAAATGCATTTTTTAATTTTTAAAAAATCACACAAGCCATTGAACGAAGATCGCAAAGGATAATATTTTTGTCCAGCGTATGTGCCCTAACTCCATTGCAGAGGGTCTGTTCTGTTCCTTGTTCTCCTCTTCTCTTCAATTCAGCGTCTCAGTTTCAACAGAGCATCAACAGCGAGAAACAAAGAAAGGAACCAAACCTCGAAAGAGAAGAGAACATAAGAGATGAAGTTTCGGTACGCGATGGTGTGTTCTTCGAACCAGAACAGGAGCATGGAGGCTCATTCCCTGCTCAAGAAGCAGGGCTTCGAAGTGTCTTCTTACGGCACTGGTGCCCACGTGAAGCTCCCGGGTCCCTCGCTCAGGGAGCCCAATGTCTACGAATTCGGAACCCCCTACAAGTATATGTACGATGACCTACGTAGAAAAGACTCTGAACTGTATCCTCTTCACTCTTTTTATTCGTTTTTATTTCTGCACTTTCCCTCTCTTTACCCCAAAATCAAATCCCCAACTTGTGGGGTTGCTTCAACTAAAAAAAGATTCCATCTTTTCAGCTTCAACATTTTACTCTCATAAGTTTTCTTGTTTTCAATTTTGTCGGTAAACTTGGATTTGTGCTCTTATTTGTGTGAGTTTGATTCAAATGGCTGTAGAGGGTTTTTCTTATATTGAACTTATGATGAGTATATTGACTTTTATAATTATTACCGGTGAAGTTCTACTTGTATGATTTTTTTATTGCTTGGCAATATGAAGTTTATTTTTATGCTGACAAGACATTGGAATTAAACTTGTGTTTATTTGGGGAAATAGAAGCGAAACAAAGGAAAACCAGTTCCTTTTAATATTTATTTTGAATTAGTTGTTTTGTATTTGTTACACTAGGTGGGGATAGTTTTGATGGAGTGAGCAACTTTTATTCACCGTGATACCAAGTGGTGGGAATTTTTGTGTAGGGATTGAATGAGCAAAGGGGGTGGTATTGTTAAGTTCTTATTTGATTGTGTCGTTTGAGCAAATGGAGTAAGATATTGAGATAACCCACTAAGGTCGGTCAAATGGTGGTGGTCGGGATAGTTTGCATGGTCAGAGGTATAAGTTTCATTGTTGTCACTGTATACACAAGATAAGAGGCAAATACTGAGTTCATGGTCGCATTAATTTTTGTTATCTATATGCCTATCTGTTGTTAGACTTACATGCATGTTGGGTAATGAGTTTACTTTGCACTTGCATTCTTGTTTTTTATTCTGTGTGGTGTGGTGGATTGATGGAACCTTGACTAGAGTACAGCTATAGACGAAATGGAATCTTGGCAATGCTTAAAAGAAATGCAACAGTCAAGTTGGCACCTCAACGGTGGCAGGAAAATGCTGTTGATGGCGTCTTTGACGTGGTATTGACATTTGAAGAAAAAGTGTTTGATATGGTTATTGAAGGTTAATATTCATCCTGATTTGTTTATTCAGCTTTCTGACTGTTGATTGGTCTGTTGTTAGTGAATATAAAATGGTGTTGTAGGACATTTGAATCTGAGTAACTTTTAGATAGATTTTTATTTTGCTAGCAATACAAAGAGTCTTCTGCTTCACATTGTCTTGGTTGATAGGCCTCATTGAATAAGATGCTTGGGTTTTAAGCTGGGATGTCTGTTAGTGGTTTCAAAAGGAAGTTCCCAAGAGATATTTCTTAGCCGTGATTTGACCTTGGATTTGAACTAAAAGAGATCGGGAAAAAAAAAAGGTGTTTGTAACCCCGGTTTTTTCAAGGAGGTTGCAAATGCAGTGAAGTGCATTAATTTTCTGTGTTTCTTTTAGATTATCTTTTATGGTTGTTGGTTGATCTTAAGTTGTTTTTAGTCATTCTGGTTCTTTTTTTAGTTATTAGTAACTTTTGAAGTATGTTTTGCCTCATAAAAATGAGTGGCCAGATTATATACTGGATTACTTGATGTTTCTTACATTTTAGTTTCAACTACATTTCATAGTTTTGGCTGAAGCTATTGTTTTCTCAGTCCCTCCATGCATATTGTATTGGTATCTGTCCAGTTGGTGTGTACATGTGGAAACTCTAGCATAGATATGTGTCTGAATTGAAGACCATATTATGTCTAATGTAATGACTCTAATGCCTATTTTGATGGCTATCTAACTTAAACAATGTGCAGATCTCCATAATAGAGATCAAGTTTTATTGAAAGCTGTGCTGGTAATCAACTTAGAGGTAAAAGATAACCACGACGAAGCAGCTGTGGGAGCTAAGCATACTTTGGATCTATGTCAGGAGGTTTGTATCTCATGCAACCCATCAACATTTTCTGTTGATGGCAAAATTGAAGTGCTCTATATGAATTTATATGTTTTGAAATGGAGATGACTCTTTCAATGTTTTATTGCTTACTGTGTATGTATTTTGTGCACAGATCGAAAAAGCAGAATCATGGGAGGAATCAATTGACGAAATTATTGCTGGTTTTGAGAATAAGTATAGGAGGAAACTTTTGTACAGTGTCTCCTTCTACTAGAATATTGCAGGCTCCCTAGAAAAAGAACTGTTACACTAATGAATATTTAATTAAGCATACCATGAACACCATTTTTGTAAATTTGACAACTGATCTCATTTCAAATGAAAACAGATGTATTGGCTGTTGTGCATTAAAGTTTAAGGATCAAACCACCTAAGAATAAAAGGATCATGGACTTGTTTTGGTGAATTTTTCCAAAAGGTTATGGACTTGTTTTACAATTTACATATGAAAAACATGAAAACATGAAAAATACTATGCATTTTCTTGTTGTATTTATGCAGTAAAGTACAGTTAATCCATAGAAATTATCAGAATAAATTTTAATTTTTCTTTAGTGTTTTCTTTTCTCTATTCATGTTCAAGATTAAACTATGGTCAAGTTGTTTGAGATCCAATTATACCATTGATTTCAGAATGCCTTCAGCAAATAACAGTCTAATGGTTTAAAATGAATAATTTTCTTTATATCTTAGTATTTGACCAAGTTATGTCAGACGCCTACATAGAACGCCAAGACTGCATCAAATTTATGAAGAAGGTTCCTTGTTTGTAATGTAGCATAAAAGTATAACCTCATGTTATTATATACTGTTCTGTTTGTTTAATTATATTTGCCATTCCTCTGATTTGAATTGTGTCATTTTACTTTTCTTAAACTTTTATGTAAATAGGCTCACCTACTTTTTTTTCTGTAAAATGAAAGGTTCATATGTTTTTCTAAGCAAATATAGATTTGTCTTGTTCTTCTAGCTATTTTTTTAATTTTTAATTTTTAATCTAAAATCTCCACAGATTAAAGTGATTGTTAAGGATCTATCTGGAATAATTGCAAAATTTCAATCTGGATTTCAAATAGAATATCAAAATTAAACGTATTTAACTAAAATGGAGTTGAGTTGATTTGAAACTCTCTTTCAAAATGTTTTGCAACTGTTTTTAAAAGAAAATAGCCGTTTTAAAGAGCATTTAATTGCATATAACTTTTAATGAATTAAATATGAAAATAGCCGTTTTTAAATATTTTTTTTAAAAATTAAAATAACTTTTTTCTAATTTTATTCTTACATGATTGTTTTTTTTTTTAATTTGACCGTTTTCTTTTTTAAATTTAACTATTTTAAACTAAAATAACTATTCATAAAAATGTTTAATATTATTCATTTAGTATTAATATTATTCTAATATGTTTATGCCACATCCAATATTAATAATAATGATATTGAATATCAATAGTGCTAGTGCATTTTTTTCATTTATTACGTGTATTTGTGTTTAATATCATTATACGTCTATTAATATTTGAAAAAGATTTAAATTAAAAATTATTAGAGTTTAATATTTATACGTAAATTTATTGAAACATATACTTGTAATAATAAAAACTAATTATAACTAAATGCTAAATACTAATATTTAAGTAAAAATAAATTAAGTTATAAATATAGTCAATAAAAACAGCTTATGCATCATTTTACAAATTATTTATTCAAAAATCTTCTCTACCATTGTACAATACATTTTTTTTATAATACGTTCTTCTAAAAAAAAATTATTTCTAACAAATTAAAATAATTTCTTTATTTGATAAAATAACTACATAACTTCTCCATTTAAATTTAATTATATATTTTTAAAACGATTCATGCAAATTTTTTACCTTTTGAAAATTATATTTTTTAATAGAAAGTATAAACACATAAACGTATATGTTTCCGCGTGATAAAGGAGTTTTTTGACTTTTAAAATGATTGTCAAAAAAATATATGATTAGATATTCTTTTAATAAAATATCTTCAACAAAACCGCTAAATTTTAGTCAGAAAAGAAAACGTTTGTTCTTCAGTTTGAATTACATTTTATATTTTCATTTATTTTTTTAAATTATTTAGAGAAAGTGTGGAAGTAAATTATCATATGAAAAAACATTGATTAATCTTATCCGTTTTTGTTTAAATTCCTACTTTTAGACATTTAAAATTATTTTAAATTTAACTAAGTTTCTAAATAGTCGTTATGAAATAATAATGTAAAGATTATAGTACAAAAATCTACATGATTAAATTATATGTATACGTAAATATAAAGTCGTTTAAACTATATTTCATAATTATTTATAATAATAAGAATTACTTCCGAAAACCGGCTCTGTAAAAATTTGGCAATGATTGATGTGAGAACCTTTAAATTCATTTATAATTTCGAAAATAAGAAAGACTTTTTATTGACTTAAAAACTCAAGATAAATGTTTTGTTAGAGATTCAAAACAAAGAGAGAGAAAGAAAGAAAACTATGTATTTGTTTTATTTCATTAAAAATAAATTAATTTTAAAAATAATTTGAATTTTTTATTTAAATTAATTATATTAATACTTAGTTTGCTCATATGAATTTAACGTTGAAATAATTTTTATGAGAAGTTTTAAAATTATAAAATTAAAATAATATTTAAGTAGCCAAGATGGAGTTAACTCATGCATATGTCATAAAAATGTATTAAAAAAAATATATATGTAATCAGGATGACGTGAAATATAACGGAATATAGTGAAGAGAGACGGAGTCTGGCGTTAAAGGCCTCCGTTTACTTTCTTTCTGCCAACTGCTGCAGCTGACAACTCAACACTCACAAACTCTTTAGCTTCCTCTGATCCAAAAGACGATGGAACCTTTAGGTTGATTCCTTCGAATTCTCGCACTTTCTTTATAAATTTCCCGCACTTTCTAGCCCTCCAAACGCTCTCCGAAAACCCTAAAATGGCGTCGGAATCCACAGAAGAGGACAAATCCTGGGAGCACGTCCTCCGCCGCATGCTCCCCGCCGGCGCTCCTCTCCCGGACGAGGAGCACCTAGACTACTCTATCGCCGTCGAGTACGAAGGTCCTCCGGTTCCATACGACGTTCCCAAGGTCGATCCACTCGAAATCGGCGCCACCGCTTCCGCCGTTGCCTTACCGATTCGGACGGCTTCAATAGTCTCCGATCACAACGCGTCGGCCTCGATTCCAGTCGCCATGCCGGTGCATCCGCGGTTCTCACGGTTTGGCCGAGTCCGCAACGGCGGTTTCGACCGCGCGCCGCCGCCGCCGCCAAGAAGTCCGGTGGAGAGCCGGAGGTCGTCGTCGGTCTCCAGGTCTCAGTCGCAGTTCGATTCGCGCAGTGGCGAGGTGGTTTATCGATCCGATTATTCCGGCGAGGTTAACGACGAAGATGGACCAAGCTCCGCCTCGGAGGCGTCTGAGCAGCAGTCTCCGCCGAATTCTGCTCCGGTGCCTCGAAGCGGCGCAGGAGCTGGCAAACGTCCGACGACTGTGACGTTCCATACTCCGAGGGACTCCGAGGACGACGACGGAGACGATTTCACGTCGCCGAGGTCGGTTGCGACGGAGCCGGTGGGATCGCCGGTGGGCGCGTCGCCGTCGCGGAATAAGAAGCGGTGGATTTGTAGCAGATGTGGAAATAGTAACAGGTTGAAGGAGAAGGAAGCGTGTTTGGTGTGTGATTCAAGGTACTGCAGTAACTGTGTGCTGAAAGCGATGGGGTCTATGCCCGAGGGAAGAAAATGCGTGAGTTGCATTGGGAAGCCCATTGATGAATCGAAGAGGCCAAGTTTGGGGAAGTGTTCTAGAATGTTGTCGAAAGTGTGTAGTTCTTTGGAGATTAATCAGATTATGAAGGCCGAAAAGGAATGTCCTGCTAATCAGCTTCGGCCAGAGCAGCTTATTGTGAATGGCAGGCAGTTGAGGCAAGAGGAGTTGGCTGAGATTCTGGGCTGCCCCATCCCTCCTCAGAAGTTGAAGCCCGGGAGGTATTGGTATGATAAGGACTCTGGACTTTGGGGCAAGGTGAAAATGGAAAACTATTAACAACTTTAATGCTTCTATATGTTGTGTTTCTGTGTTTCTTTTAGTGTTTGTCCTTGGTTATATGAATAGGCTACTTTTATTGTATTGGTTTATTGTTTTGCTGAACTTGGATATGTTGGATTGATTTCAGGAGGGAGAGAAGCCTGATAAGATAATAAGTTCGAAGCTTAATATTGGAGGCAAGCTTCAGACGGATGCGAGCAATGGAAATACCAGAGTCTACATGAATGGCCGTGAAATAACAAAGATTGAGCTTAGAATGTTAAAGGTAATCAAATCAATAATCAGGTTCCTGCTTTCATCTGGGTTGGATTTGGTTCTGAATGAAATAGTTGAACATGGAAGTTAGTAAATGTACTAGAATCTAGGCTAGAATGCTAGATACCAACTTTTTTAGCTAAGCGTCAATGTTGCCTTGGCTTCAACTAAGGTTGTGCTAAGTACCACGTGGCAACCCTAATTGATTGTTGTAGTGCTTCACAAGTTTATACACATTCGGTTAACTAAGGAAAAACACAAATGAATACGGACCGTGCTATTATCAGTCAACTTATGGCCATTTCTGTTTCTAAAAATTTAGGTGTTTGGATTTTACTTAAATTCTTACCTATTACTATCGATATCAAGAATAAAAGGCATTACATAAATTACTCTATGTGCTAGGTAAAGTATTAGAGATAGTAGATATTAACCCTGGACATACAATAATTGTTTTTCAAAGCATTTCCCTTTAAAATTAATAGAAAATATTTCAAGCATATAAGCTTACCTGATTTTAATGGACCCATAATTTCTACTTGTTGACAATTTACAACTTATGAAACCCTAGGAAATTAATTTGGGTTTTTATGATGGCCCCTTCAATTTTGTTGTTGTTTTGGTTTTCATATATTTGTACCTTAAATGTCTGTTTTCACATATTGTACCTAAAATTTCTGTTTTCTCTAACTTATTTATTTTCCTGCTCTCTTATAGTTTCCTTTGTGTCTCTTTCTTATTCTGCGCATCTTTATATCTTTTGAAAAACCATGCTTGTCATAACAACTTGAGATCTTGTGAAGCCTGTCATGAAAGGGGAGGACTGCAAAGGCCTTTCAGTTGACAGTTCTTCTTTTAAATGCATTTAGGCCATATCACGTGAAATAAATCTTGATCTTGTGAAGCTTGTCTTCAAAGGAGGCTGCAAGAGCCTTTCAGTAGACAGTTCTGCTCCCTCTTTTAAATGAATTTAGACCATCTCATTGATTTAT